TGCCTGCTGGATTAGTTTTGAGGGTTTCTTCTTTTTAACCCAATTCTGAATTCTCGGCCCTTCACTTTGAAGTTACTGATGTAGTTTTTAGAATAAACAAGTTGCTGTAAAGCACATGAAAAAAAGAAATCTTGGCCACACCAGGCCCAAACTGCTGCTATCATTTGGTTGCAACCAATTGGCTAAATTTGGCATTAGTTTGCTACGGTTTTGTTTCATTGTCAAAGTGAAAGCAAGGGAGAGTGACAGCTGTCCTCTCCTTTTCTGTCCTTAGGATGGTTTATTGACTTTTGCTTTTTCCCCAGATATTTTGGTTTGGAATGTAACTAAGCCTGTCAAAATCTGGAACTTTACTCATTAATTAACTTAACGTCTTCCCAATTTGAAAGAAGTCATCATTCAGTTTCAGATCTGCTGCATTTTTGCAGTGATAGGTTCTTAAAACGAACTACTGTATGTGGAAATCCTCAAGGTATTCAACAGGGGAGGCTGTTTGGAGGTTAACGTCACCACCCTGGCACAGTGATACAGGTGTTTTTGAGCCAGGGCACATACAAAGATCTTTTTCTCTTAGGTTTTGGCTCTTCACCTGGAAATGTGAGCTTCAGGAACAGTTTTTACAAATGGGCTCTTTATTTATATACTGGTGAGCTTTATGTTCCTCTTTGTAAAGCACAAATATAAGTATAATCAGCACAAATTCTGGAAGAAAGCTTACTTTTCATATTTTGTGTGCATACAAAAATATATTACACTCTTATACACAACAGCTGTTTCTTATAGTATATGTGGGTCATGGACACTTTAAATCCTGCACAACGGATTTGTGTTTCAATAGGATACTGAAGTTAGAATTATACTTCAACTCTTCAGACATATCTGAGAAAAAAAGGGCCTATTTCCTTGAAAAAGTGAAAAGATTAAAATATGATGTGAACCCTGTAAAAAAACATTGGATTACAAAATTATAAAGACACTTTGCCACGTAATGTCTGTTGGGACACTAGTTTAGCTCAACAAGACCAAAGTTGAAATACAAATCTGTAGACACTCCAGCCCTCCTAGAGCAGGATTGGATTCCTCTGGTTTCTGATGCATTTAGACTAAAGCAGGTTAATATGAGTATTTGGAGTTAGGAATAAATCTATGCCTTTGAAGTTTCCTTCACCAGGATCTCGAATGCCCTCGTTCGGTGCAAAAAACCCCACCATTGTCTTTCCCTACTCTTTGCATTCACATCTTGTCTTGTCTTCTAGGAGCTTCTTGTAGCCTTTCTTGAGATTTCAGATTTCCTCAGGCAACATGTGCTGTATTTGTACCAGACTCAAGGAGAATTTTATCTTTTTACAGCTGTTCCATCACACCGTTCTCTTGTTTGGGAAATTGTACATAATAGAGACTTGTATGTGTATACTTCTGGGAGTCCTGGAGCTCTCCAGTCTCAAGCAGTTTGTTGTCAGTCAACTCAGCTGCATAGCGGTGTACAAAGAGAATGTTTGCTAACAGGTATCAACTGTTAGTGTTTCTGCATCACGTTTAGAGAGTGCTCTAGGGTCCTGGTATTATAAAGCCAGAAATACATACATTCCCGGAGCCTTCAAGGAGGACACTGGCTCTGGGGAGAAGTTTATTGATGTTTAATAAGGTTAGAAGCACCATTTGTATATTTCCATCATTTGCTGCCACTCAGGAATTTATTGCAGTTTTTAAAAGCAAGTGCCCTTATATTGCTGTTTAGTATATATTGAAATCATGAAGACATTGCTATGTTTGAATGTGTGCATATGTACGTCCATATGGGTTATACATGTCATTAATTGACAGCATTTTACTTTAGATTTAACCTAATTTCTTGCACTGCATATTAAATATGGTGAATGATTACTTGTGGGTATGACTATTTGATAGTTATAGAATTATCATCTGCCGCAGCCTTCACAAAGTCACCAACCTCCAGACCTAAGAATGCAAATGAAGCACTGATTGCTGAGATAGTTATTAACTGCATCCTTACACTAAGTAAAACAGGGAATGTTTTAAATATTGTTTATAAACAATATGAAACTTAATTAACTTTATTACTAGAATGTTATATCCTTGAAGAGTTGAATAGCCTTTGTGTATCAATGCAAATTAATTTCTGTTTTTTAAACTGTTTTGTTACACAGTGAAGAAAAGGTCCAAGAATTAAGTATATTTTTTTACATCTTTAGCCAGGAGAGTCCTGTTAAAATGCCAGTAATAACTAAGAGATTCTACTTATTTGAGACAAAGCCAAAATAATACATTTTGAGAAACAAGTCGTAAGAATATGCATTCAGTTAAACTAATACATATACAAATATGATTACCATCTAAAAATGCCAAATTGTATATGCATGATACAGCAAAACAAATCCTCTGCACCCTGGAGTCTATTTATGAACTAGTTACTATTTTGTAGACAACAAAGCCCCCTTCCAAAAAATCTCACAGGCTCCTGTACATATTGTATGTTGTATTTTTGCAGGTGCATTGCTAGTGCTTAGACAGGTTTCTCTAAACTCATTTTTATCTCTGAATTGTTATTCAGTGGTGCAAAAAATATGCCTATTCTGATGTATATAGTGTACAGTATGTGTCAGAATTATGATATATAGGTCATATACACTGGAAGTAAGAAGTCCAAGAAAGTGATGGGCAGTCTTCTGGGTATTGCATGTTAAAGTCTCAAGTACGTCATTAGCCAGTTGTGTGCTGCACAGCTAGCCAAGCTTGTGTGGCCTGGTTAAGCTTCAGGCAGGCTCATAGTTATGACTGTTGAGTGCGAGGACAGCTTCATAACAGAGGTTAAAAGGGATCCTCCTTGTTTAGTTGTCAGTAGTTAATCGATCCAAATACCTTATCCAGCCTTTTATTAAAGGAAACCAGGCTGTCAGGGTGTTACGACAACATGGCTGGTTAGCTTGTTCCATGCTCCCACACAACCCTTCGGGTAAAGAAGTGCCAACCTGTTCTCGGTTTTGAATGTACTTTCACAAAGTTTCCACTTGTGCCGTCTGGTTCGTGTTTCACTGTTCATTTGGAAGAATTCGAATATTGCAACGGGAGCAGCCAGTACCCCGTCTGTTCTCTCTGTTCAGCGCTAACTCTGCTGCGGGGAACTGTGGGGCTGGTGGTGTGAAAGAAGGCGTCTGCGCATTTCAGAGGAAGACACACATTGTCAAAATTCTTCAAATAATGGTATGAGGGTCCTAGCTGAGTACCCAGTTGATTGAAAGTTAGAAATTCCAAATTTTTGTCAGAAAATGATTGGGTAGTAATAATTTGCAATAAATGGGGAAAAAAAGGTTACCTGAAAACTAAATTCAGCCTATTGATCAAGCAGTGCTATCTCATATGATGTATATGACAAAGCTTTCTGCTGGGCCAGCTCTACCAGTTACACAACACACTTTGTAATCCATTGGGAGAAGAATGTTCTGCTTTATTTGTGACATCATCCTGTCAATTTCATGACCAGACAGTAGTCAAAGCTGTCATAGCTGCAGGAGATCAGTTTATATCGGATATTTCAGCTGAAGGATGTCAGTGCTTTGGCAGCGCAGTGCTCTGGAAATGTAACAGATACATGTGAAAGAAAACCTGCAGAATCAGAAATGTACTTGTGTAGTGTGCATCTCGTAGCAAGTGCTTGATTCTGACTCTGGTTGATTCTGTTTTATCCCAGCTAAAAGGTAAAAGCATTGTGTATCATGCCAAATTGCTTTAAGGTATGATATGTTAATAAAATGTGTCAAGATGTCTGGAACCCCTTTCCTCTTTATAAACAAACTTACAACATGAACTGAGCTAATTAGCGGGACCATCTGTTCAGTTTAGCAAAGTTAGTGATATTTACTAGAGAAACTGTAAAAAGACAAGCTCAGTTTTGCATAGCAGGTGACAAGTGTTAGAAAGTGGAATTTAATTCCCTGTCCTTTTTATGTTTGTGTGTATGTGCAGATATTGTGTATGTGCGTTTGCTTCATTTTACGTTATACCTTTACTCCCTTTTCCCATTTTACACCGTGTGCTGTGTAATGACTTCCATATTAATTTCATTTGACTTTTTTATTTCTTAGATTATTTCTATAATGAAATAAATATTTCTTATTTCTTTTATTATTCTTTATCCTCCTAAAAAAATGAGCAACTACCCAGGTTATTTTCTTCTGCTATGATGTACTTATTTGTGATTAGAGACCGGGGATGTATTGAATGCGGAGACAGAGCAGGGTATTCCCTTAACAGCATCATGCAAAGCTGTTAGCGGCAATTTGCTGATACTACATTGATTGCAGTGGTCCAGCCCAGCTATTGTGCATGCTAAGCACTACACCGATAAGTCTGTGGGGGAAAAAACTGAAGGATCCATCTGCTCATTTCTGCTCCTCTGCACTGATGTAAGATTACGCTAATCTGGTTACTTGTCAGGACAGGTTAGTGAAAGCAGGCGAATGGGTGAGATTTAGGCTGAACTGGTTCTCTGGAAATCGCCTGCTCTGCTCTAGATTTAGCAGTGTTATGTTTGGCAATGGAGACTGATAATCAGTTCCTTACAGCAATTCGGTGCTCTTTGCTTGTGGGTTATTGTTTTTTTTCTCTGAATTATTCAGACTGATACAGTGACTTAATTTGTTTTTTAAAATAACAATTTTCGGGGCTTTAGGTTAATAAGCCCTTTTGGTTGATTTTTGCAGTATGAAAATATTGTGAGGGAATAAATACCATGTGCTGGCTTAGCCTTAATTGAAAGACCTAATAGCTTCATAAATTTTAATAGGAAAACATGTTTGCTTTCCTTTGCCATTGAAGATGCAGACTCTTGAACATCATGCAGAGAGGGAGAAAGGCAAAGGGAACCCCTGTTCAGTAAAATGTGGAGTTAAATGACAGATCCTTTTCAATGAGAGAATGTCCCGAATGCCCATCTTTGTGTTTGTTTCCACGATGACTGATGATTTTCTTTAACCTTGCAGGTTGAACACCCTATCACTGAATGTATTACAGGCCTGGATTTGGTCCAAGAAATGATTCGAGTTGCCAAGGGTTACGCACTCCGACACAAGCAGACTGATATTCCCATTAATGGCTGGGCCGTTGAAAGCAGGGTTTATGCTGAGGTAAAAAAAAAAAATCCAAATAAAAATGTCTTCTCTGGCATTAGGTTCTCCAAGCAATCCTCGTTTTTTGGTTAGGAAAAGGTGCGGCTCATTATTTCAGTTACAGCAGTCTGTCAGTGGCTTTGTTTTAAGATCCATCCTCTTCTTTGGTTTGCTTATGTTTAACATCTTTCAACATTTTTATTCAATTAAATTGCCCTCCTTAATTGCAGACAACATCCTGTATGCTTTAATGTTGTTTTCTCTGTGAGCAATTTAGGACGGTAATAATTTTGTAACTTGTTATGCTAATTAGGGGAACCTTCTAAGTCTTTTTAGTGCAGCAGTAAATTTATTGGCCATTTGGTTGTAGGGGAAGAAAAGAAAAAGAAGTTTGAGTAATTAATCCCGTTAACCAAGGATAATTGGGCAAAAAATAGCCTTGCCAACAGCTTTAACTTCTAGCAACAGCAGTTAACCTTGTTTCCTGTGTTTTATTTAAAAGTTAATGTTTCCTCTTATTTTAACTTCCTTTCAGGATCCATACAAATCCTTTGGCTTGCCTTCGATAGGTCGCCTTTCCCAGTACCAGGAGCCAGTGAATTTGTCCAACGTAAGTTTCCAGTTAGAACTTGCTTTTTTCATTTCAGGTCATTAACTTAAGTTTCCAAAGACCAAGATCCTGTTTAATTTTTGTTTCATGAAACCTGTACAATTGCCACATCATAACGATTTATTACTTTTAGGGTTTTTGGGACTAATTTTCCTTTGTATGGTCAAATGAATATGAATGTGAAAAAAGTTAATTCAAAAATGTTTTAACAACTTTCCCTGAAGCAAATATTGACACTTTGTTACCAGAAGATCAAAAATAATGGATACTATAATATATTTCAGTGACATCTGGTGGTCTTCTTTTATTTTTTTTAATCTGTACAAAATACCAGTGATTCGTGGTCACGAGATTTGGGGGGGGTGTGTTTAAAATTACTCTTTTAAGACATCCACAATGTGTGTACTATCACATTACTGTTTTTTGGGAGAAAGTATTTTGAAGTAATGGCATTTATGTAAATGGAAACCTTCCACTGGTCCTTTGTAGCTCCAAATAGATTTTAGCTTTCCCTTTTCATTTCTTGTAATATAATGGCAAGCATTTTCTCTAAAAACAGGCTAAGATGGGATAAAAGCCCTTTGAGTTTTTTTAAAAGTGCTTCTAAATAAAATTGTATTATTATTAAAAGCACAAGGTGGTAAAACAGCCCAAAAGGGTTAGCATTCTTCATCTCTTGGGCTCTTATCTTGTTCTTTGAACGCAAGAAAGATATGGATGATAGCAAGCTAGTCTCCATGTTAATGCTTGTCCGGCTCCAAGGAAACATGTAATTAATCCCAGGACTTCATAAAGGCAATTCAAGAGTATTTCTCTGAATCAGCTGCAATAACATGGATTGCTAACTCATTCCATGCACTCTTTGCGCTCTTTTAGAAAAGTGTCTCCTATTCTCTATTCTCCCGGGCTCCACACAGAGATTGAAAGAGTGATTGGGGCTTCTTTTTTTGGTCTTCAGGAATTTATACAATCTCCTTGAAGTACTCTTTGGTCTGGGCTAATAAGATTCAAGTTTAAAAAAAAAAAACATTTGTACTTTGTATTCCAAAAATATTTTTTGTTTTTTTTTAAACAGTAAATGTTTTAATAATAACACTGTGCTTTAATAAGTCAAACTAGATATATCTTACTGAATTAAAATGAGCCTAGCCTGTTTATACCAGAAAAGACCAGTTTACATAATAAGAACAATTTGCTTGATTTTTAAAATGTATGAGATGTATCGAGTTGGAGACAACACAATGTACTGAGTACTGAGTTCCATAACTTATGACCTATTTTATATTTATATGTCTAGGGATGGAGTGCATGCTGGCATGTTTGGAAGAATATCTTTGTAATGTGTACTTTATAATATGTATGGGTATTACTGTATACATAGAAACATATCGTCATTTTTACTTCTGAAAAAGATTTTTCTTTCTGCTGTCATCTTGCACTCTGGAATCCACCCCACCTGAGCAGTCAATTTTGCCCTTTTCAGTTGCTGTGGTAGCTGCATTTCAGAGAAGAGGGATACAGTCACTCTTCATTTAAGGGTCTGTGACATACAGGTAGAAGAAACATAAAAGTATAAACATAGGGTGGCATATACTGAGCTTGGAAAAGGTGCATATTGTATAATGTGGTATAAAAGGCAAATGATATTCAAATCTTTAGTAAAGAGCATATAATGTATCTCAAGGGATAGTATGTAAAAAAAGAAAAAGGCTCTATTAAGAAGGGATTTTGAATATTGTGTATGTGACCAACACATTACAATCAAGATATTTTTTATTTGGAATCAGTCCACTGAAGTGCAATCAGATACATCCCTGGGCTTAATTAGATGTCCTATGCTGACAGGCTAAAAGAACTGAACATTTTAGAAGACTTATATTCAAATATTCAGAATCCTCCAAGACGTTGACAAGACACAATCAACAGTGAAAGACATATCTAAGGTCAGGAGAAGTGCACTTTTTTACATGAAGGGTTGTGGGAGTATGGAACAAGCTACCCAGTCATGTTATCGATTGTTACTCTTAACCAGTGCCCAGACGCTGGCTGAGATCCTTGGCTCAGTTAGCTACTAACAATCAGTAGAGCAAGAAGAGATGACCTCTTGTTTGTAACCTTTCCTATATTTCTGTGTTTTTTAGTAAGAATTCCGAATACAAATCATTCTGTGAAGACAGGTTTTTAGTGAATACAATAACTCAGCACTTTGCAACAAGAATTGCTATGTTTATTTAGCAAGTGTGGCAGGCGGGAATACAGTAGTATACAGTTCTTTATGTGAATTAACAGTCAGCCCGGTCAGTGGGTCACCAGACTTTTGACTTTTGAGATGCAGCTGATGATTCCTTCTCAGATAAGAATGTGTATCTTCATATCATTGTATTCTATAGGCAGTATACATGTCAGTATGTCATTATGTCATTTGTAAATCATCAAGACTCACTGTTCTATTAGTAAACAAATGTGTCACCTCTGTGTTAGCCACAGACTTAGTCTGTCTTAGAATGTTACATACTAATCCACTTTACCATGATACCTCGCTGAGGTGATCCTGGTGCTTCCTTGTCCTGTGCCTGTTTTGGAGCTCGGACTGCTCACTGCCTTTTCCCTGACCTGGTTTACCCTCCCTGGAGTGGGAACTTCATTCCATGTGATTGCAGCACATCCTTCTCCAGGGGCAGCAATTCACAGAGCGCTTGCAACCGCGTTCGATAATCTGGAGCCCTCACCAGAGAGTATCGGTGCACCAGACTGCAGCCTCCCCCTCCCCTTGTGCAGAGGGGCATTCACAGTTTCCAGCACCCGCAAGTCTTTGCAAGACACATCCTTGCGATGCCAGTTACACAATTAAGTTTAACTTCATTTTGATATTAATATTTTGTAGAATGGATGACTTTGCTGCACCAAGTAAAAATATCCTTCATTACAATGTGCATTTGTAAACCTAATTTTAAACTGTGGATGTTTATATACAATTGGTAGCGGCTAGTGTAGACAGCTATTTTGGTGTCTTCGTGAGGCTGGTGTCTTGACTCTCTGCTTGGTATGTTTCTCCTTTTGAGAACCTCGCTTCAAAATTAATTTGCAGAGGGAACTCGGCATGTCTGAGCTCAAGAGAGTGCAATTGTCAGTTACAGTATTCCACCTATTGTTTAGTGGAGCCTTACGAGGCATTGTGGTCATTTTTGACGCACCACCAAGTACAAATTGGAGCAGACACAAACACAGCATTACCCGATCTGATGCATCTCGTGAGGTAGCAGTGCGGTGTATTGCTGTAGGGTCTGGACTTTGCTGGTAAACTGTCGCTTTTGACAACGTACTTCACTCAGATTGCTACAGTAAATAACCTGCTGCATTAATGGGTCTCCATATCATCATTGTAAATGAGAATTTGTTCTCAGTTGACTTACGAATTGAATAATAAACACCAAAGGAGAATCAATGTAACGTAATAATGAAGACAAAAATGGCTACGTTGCTTTTTTGAATTACTAAAAGCTCGATCACAAGGAGAGAAATGAATCTCAGCGCAAACTGACATTATTTTAAAAAAGCTGTATTTTACAAAGACGCTCATTTACACTGTCAGCTCCAGCGCGAAAGACAAGGGCAGTGGAAGAGAAGGTGTAACGAATGAAGTGAAAATGTATGCTGTGCAGAGCACTTGACATTCTCCATTGAAGCCGGCCCCCATTAATTACACAATTTAAATAATTATTTCCTTGATTTATTTGTTTTTCCTTTTTTTCCAGCTCTTTTTTTTGTATCACAGTGAAGTTTTTTTCACCATATGGTTGCGGATCAAATAATGTCAAACATTTTGCCCTTGCAAGTTTTTGCAATTTGCAGTTTTCAAACGTGAGACCTGTTGAAAGCACAAGTGATAATGGACATGCTCTACCCCCTACAGTTTTTGTCCCACCATATCTTTCTTCAATTAATGCTACAGCAGGAGTTTTATGTAATAACACTTGCGCTTGTGAGCCATACACGTGAAAGAGAGAGAGGGGGGAAAAAACAATTAAAATGCCTTAAATGTTCTGGTTGCTGCTGTTATGTTCTTGTGTGAATGTTGCATGTCAGCTAAATGGACCAAAGAAAAGATAATGTGATTGGATGCAGGAGAGTGCACGCTAAGCTTTGTCTATCATTATTGCTGGGAGCAATCAAATTGATGCCAGCGGGACAGTAGACGCGTTGACAGCTGTAATTATGTATCTCCATGGTGATCACTTTTGGCCTGTCATGGAGGCCCACAAGTCCCCTCCCTTGCAAGCATTTAATCAGATTGGGCTGTCACTTGTCAGGTAGACAGCAATAACTGGGGAGGGGGGTTGTGCGGAGGGGGAAGAGGTGAGTTAGAAAAGAAGGGTGGGAGCCGCCTGATAGCTTCACATGGGCTTGTCTCTACCAAGAAAAGAATTTTTAATTATGCCGGGTGAGCTTCAGAGCAACGTGTTGTGGATTGCACACAGTTTGACCAGACATTTCACCCACTTTCATCTCTGTTTCCATTAGGAATTAAAAAAAAATCCTAAAAAGGGGGACAGAATGTAGTGGGTAGCTTTTTTGTTTTTCTGGAACTGACGTGTCCTCGGTTTTTCTCAAACAAGGGAGAGATCAAGACACGTATTTGAAGCTACTGTCATCACTCTGGGAATGCCACTGTTTCTTTTTAGTTTGTAAATGCTCAAGAGAAAAATATTCTAAAACCTATCCTCAGAAGCTCTTTGGTGGATGTGACTTTCCAGACAGTAATGGAAAATGAAAGATGGTATCAAATATCAAGTTATTAAAGAGCAGATTGAGCTGGACCAGAATTCAAAAGTAAAGGTTTCAAAGTACATTAATAAATGCAGATTTTTCAAAACATGATTAGGAGCCTTTCCCTGTTTTTTTTTCAGATTTTACTAAATCCAGAGGAGAAATGCACTAATACTGATTGTTGGATGTGCCACGTCATACTCTGTGGCTCTCAAATGTGTGCATTTTCTAAAGGGTAGGGGGCGAGAGTAGGATAAGTCGCGAGCTAAAAAAATCCCCCCAGGATGTACTTTCTTGTTTATATTTACCTAAATGTCTTTGAGACTGGAAAGGAAAAACAAGCAGATGAAGTGGTAGTTATTTTAACCTTTTTAATGATCCCCAGTTTATATTTAGGAAAACGTATTGTTTCAGATAACTCACTGATTATGATAATTATAGAACAATATTTTTATACTTCCCTTAGCAACAAAAAGGAGGGGACATGGGTGCAGTGAATTAAGGGAACAAAGATTTTAAGTGGGGAAAAAATGGACACCGTTTTTTTTTTGGCAAATTGCATTCCTACATCGTATGCTTACGTATGTGCTCAGACAGCCCATATTTGCTGTCAATTTAGAGCAATCGTTTTGACACAGAATCATATTTAATAAATGTATGTTCTGAAAGTTACCTTGATTTTCCAGGAGTTAAGTTTTAGAATTGTGATATCTCTTAGGGTGCAGGAGGGAGTGAGTGTGATTCCCTTGTTCTTTTAGCTATCATACTACCCATCTTTTCTTTCTAAAATGCAGATGTGTGGGGCTATCCACTTTGAATGATTTGACCAGATGGAGATGTTTAGGGGTTCCGTGAGGCATACCTCCTTGGTATCCCTAATATCTGCTTTGCAGACCACCTACTGTCCTATCATTAAAGTGGTTTCTAGCCACCTCATGCTTAAAAACTAAAATTGGTTGTTTTTTAAAAACATAAGAAATCTGGCACAGGAGCCAGTGGAAAAGAAATCCGATGAATACCTATTTCCCAGGAATGATGAATTTGGAAAGTTAGCCACAGTGTTGTGCTGATGAGATCAAAGGGAGATAAAGAAAGAGAATATATGTATGTGGACTCCAGTTGTTGGCTGATATCGTCCAGAATTGGCTGGAGGTGCCAGTATTTGCGGTATCAGAAATTTATCTGGGGATTTTGAGATAAAATGTCACAGAACTTCATCTGGTAAATAGTTGTTTTTGGAAGGGGGAAAAGAGATGTTTTACACAAAACAACAAGGTTAGAAGGGAGAGGTGGTAACTGAGGGAGCCATCCAGTCATTTTGAGGAAAGCAGACAGAGAAGTTCCAACTGGGTAACTTGTTCCAGACTTCAACTATTTTTCCTTTAAAGAAGTATCTCCTGTTGTCATTTTTAAGAGCATTTCCCCATAATTTCAGCCTGTGTCACCTGGTTCATATCTCGGTTATTTCTGATGTATTCTAACATGTTAACTCTGTCAGTGCTGTTGAGCATTTTGAAAATTTGTAGTAACTCCACAAATTCAAATGGGTTGTTGGGTTCTTTTTGACTTCAGAATTCTCCTTGGCAAATAATTCTTCAAACTCAATTTCAGCTGCAAGAGGTGACCATGTGATTCTATTGCATAAGAGAATGAAATGCATCATGGAGAACTGCAGTTACATGAGTTATCCACCAGGAAGTGCTACATATGCATTTGATTAGAACCATATTTAAACAGTATTACCTTAAAAGCGACCTCTGTTTTCTGTAGTTTGGCACATGTGGTGAGTGCAGTTCCTTTTATTAACTTAAAACGAAGGCCTTGCTAAATCCCAAACATATTATTCCAATGCTCAACCAAAACCAGTTAAAATTCATAAGGTTCTGTCTTTCTGCGCTGAGGTTCAATCGTGTTTGTATGACAACATCTCTTCAATGTATAAATTGTGGGGGAGATGATATTCAGGTGAATTTTTAATGTTCTTAAAACCTCTAATATTTTTAGACAGAGAACCCATGTCTAAAAATATGCTGGTTTTTCTTGAATGTAATTGTCAGGGTACTAGATTACAAATGGGTGAAACAAAAAGTAATTTCAGTTGCTGAATAACTTGAGAGAAGGGCAAGTTGACAAGCAGTCCTTTATTACTTCAGTTTTTGTTGGAGAGAAGCACGTATATAATGTGTTGTGAAGGAATTCTTAAAGATCTACAGTATTTGTTTTAATGTATCAAAAATGAATTTTTCTTGTCTTTTAGGTGCGTGTGGACAGTGGTATTCAAGAAGGAAGTGACATCAGTATTTATTATGATCCAATGATATCTAAAGTTAGTAATTTTCTTTTGATTCTTTACATGGACTGTATCGTTAGTTTATTTTAAATATCAGTTAAACAGTGTTTTGAATGGTTCTTAGGTTTTGATTTTTATTTCTATTTTTCTGTTAAGTTACAATTAACATGTTCTGAAATTGAAACATTTATAAGCAAGCGAAAATCACGTTATTTCTTAAATATACTGGGAATGTATATGGAAAAAGGCCATTAGAAAAAAACAACTTAATACAGCCTGCATACTATTGTGTGTTGAAGGAATGCATTTACTTGGCACTAGTGTGGTTTAATGTTGTGAGGTGTTCTATCTGAATTTCTTAATATGAACATAACTACCAAGGTAGTTGAGTGAAACATTGAAATAAGGACATAGTATTAACTGCATATGAATTTTACATGCCTTCTAAAATTATTTATAAAAAAATATTGTATTTTTATATCTAAATTCAATTTGTTTTATTGAAACATTATAGAAAATTTAAGAAGCAAGATGCACCCTGTGAAAAGTTTTAAACTCTTATTTGATCTTTTTACGAACCATGTGATTTCTTGGAATTCACAAATATCTCGGTACTTCATAAGTACTGAAGGCATTGAAACCTCATAAATGTTTAGGAATCTCAGTTCATTCACAGAGTATCAGAGAAGTTGTAAGGAGATCACTTTTTTCACCATCCATCAGGAAACCCAGTAAAGGATTTTTTCCTCCTGCTAGAAAATCTGTAGTACAGTACTTGCAATGAAGTGAATGTGTACTCGGAGAAATGGGAGTCTGAGAATTTAAACTGAGGAGAGAACTTGAGTGCAAAAGAAGGGGCAGTATTCACCTCACCTCAGACAGATAATGCAAATTAGTAAGCATACTGTAAGGTAGTTGCCATTTTTTTTTAGTTTTGCTGTCAATATCAATTTCTTATACCAGGTTTAGATGCAGTCTGTCACACCCTGAATTCTTTAATTGCAAGCTCTTTTCTTTATTTCCCCTAAAGGGCAGCTACCCTACACCAGCAAGCAGTTCATTAAAGCCCATGCCGAAATAGCATAATTTAAATGAACTTTACAGTAACTTAATATTCAAGTATTCCAAGTAATGAAGTTTTTTTTAATTAGTGTATGATGTAAGCATACACACAGTGTGTAGGATATGTTGTACATTTTATTTAAAGTTTTTTACATGCTAAGGTTGCCCTGTTCAAATTTACTGTTTTTCCCCCACAACAGCTGAATTGATTTTGTTATAGAATAAAGTCTGGCTGATGTGGGTGGAAATTATGCATAAAAGGGAAGTGAAGTACGTTTAAACAACAGCTTCAAAAACATACTTGTCCTTGAATATATTATTAATAGTAATAATAAAAATCAAGTAAGTGTAGAGGGAACTGTATAATTTCTGAAATAATTAGACTGAAGCACTAATGATTTTTACATGGTAATTAGACCCTTGGGACCAAAGTTCAGGCTTACATTTATACGGGAGATCTCCTTTGTTTCATTTAGATGAACTATTCTGAGACAAATTAATCCTGCACGGAGCCACCTACATGTATTTTAGCAAAGAAATGTACAATTTTAAAATCTGTTTAATAATGTATCAGTTTTTAAAATACAGCTGGTTAAAAGCACAGGTGAAAGCATTGCTCAGTGTTATAACATGACGAAATACATCATAAATCTCTCTAGACTATATTCATTGATCATATGAGCATACTTTTGCTTTAACTATATTATGGTAATTATAATGGCTATTTTTTTTCTCCTTTAGTTGGTTACATATGGCTCGACTCGTGCTGAAGCACTTCAGAGAATGGAGGAGGCTCTAGACAATTATGTCATTCGAGGTAACTACTGAAACTCCTAGTGTGGTAGGCTGGCATAAATTAAAGGGAAACAGCTGGAACAGGTTGTAATTAACAAATCGAATAAGATTGTGCTTATTAACTCAAAATTACAGCAGAAAAGGCTCACATTAATTAGGAAGATCCCTGATTTCCAAGGAGATTGCCATATTTTATTCCTACTGTCACCCCTGACTCAGGTGTCTGCATGAGTGTGTGTATGTGTGTGCCACACACACCTGAAGAAGACTCCTTCACTAAAATTGTTTTTTTCTTTTTTTTACTTTTCACTGCAGAATTGACCTCTGCTCGTTTGCAGCTCGCACGCTGACACAGCTCCGTGTACTAATGCGCACCTCCGCTGCATGTCTTTTTAGGAACGGGCTTAAGCATTTCTGGACTGTCAGCACCCTTTTGCATTTGACACTTATGGCTTTGGGCTTAGCCAGTTGTATAAATCCCATGTATTATTAATGGAAGTATATTTGCTTGGAGGTCAGTACAAGATGCCAGAATTTTGGCTGGAAAATATTTTTATGTAATGATATTAAGCACAGCACCTTTTAGTCTGCTAAAATTCACACTTTGGTTAATTAAATTAGCAGCATTTTCTCTGAAATGTGAAATCTTCCCAGTATTTCCGGGACCGGAAATGTATTTTTGTTTTTCCGCCATCCATTTGGTTAAGAAAAATTCCCCAAATTCCTTTAAACTTTCTTTGACGTGGTTAATGCATTTTATTAGTGATGGAAAGCTTTTTGTCTCAAGATCAAAACTTCTCTCCAGCAATAAGCAAGGAACACTTTGCATAGCATCCCACGTTAGATACAGAAAAATCCAGCTTTTCCCAGGTGCAGCTGTAAGCAGCCCTTTTCCGGCAATGGATTAAAGGTCATTTTTTACTTCCAGTTGGACTTTCCATTATGTGGGACAAAAGCTTGAATGAATAATGTGAGAATAGAGTACACTGTTACATGAGAGCGAGGAAAGGGAATTGACTCAAACATAACATGCTCAGAATGTTACCAGAATTGTAAGTAAAATTTGAATGAAGAAACAGGTAATACACTTATGAAGTACAAATAAAAATCAGAAATATACTAGTTGAAGCAGAGCTCGCACTAGATAATGAAACTTTCAAGAGGACAGAAGTATCTGGCGAACTGTATTATGAAAAAATAAAAAATATATATTTTGAACAATTTAGAAACAAAAACTGGTACGTCTCAAAAACCATCTTGAATTTTAAATTATTGATGATCATTTATTATGGAAAATTATAAGCAGCAAAAGCAAAAAACCCACTTAGGAATGTACTATTTTGTAGAGATTATCTGTAAGGGAAAGTCCAATAAATTTCAGACAATTAGCCTAAAAAGAGACTAACTGTTGTATGAATATATGATGTGTTGCTGAAGGAATATTTTTAAAATCGAAATAATACAACTATTATATATTGTAGATATATATACAGTAGAAAATTGATTATTTCAAAGTGGCAATCAGTGTGTAGATCATAACTTTTTCTTGGGTAAAGAACAACAGGACAGTGGATGTTTGTAAGGGCCATAATTTACAGATTTCAATGTGCTCCCCAGGATGTGCATGAGGGAACATATGTAATGTCACTGATCAGTTTAATTTAATATGCTTTTATGAGGTATTGCATAACAATACAGCTTTTAAAATGTATAGTGAGGACATCACAGTTCCCAAAGCTGTTCTTGATTATTAACTGAATGTCAGCTTTGTCTTGAAGGATCCTCTAGCACACTGTGTATTTAGAAAACAAGCATTCTGAACATAATATGCTTAAATCCTCTAAAAAATGTGCAAAGATGCATTATAATGTCCACAAACTGTGGTGAATGGGAATTGTTTGCTTCCTTAAACTGAACGTGCTCTCCTAGTTTATGTGGAAAATCTTATGTGGCTAATTTTTATGAGTAAAAAAAGCAAATGCTGTATGCCCATGCACATCATAGTACACAGTAAAATGTTTAATTTTGGCCAATTTTTTAATGTACAGTATGTGCTTTAGATGTAGAAGCACTTATTTGAGCAGATTTAACAGTAAGTTTAGGTTATTTAGGATATTGCTAGTGGATGAGAGGTGAATATTTAAGTGATGAATGCAGTTTATGAACAGGTAAGATTTCTGTGGATAGTGGAGGAATATGATCTTAAAGAAACTGAGTGACCATAAATACACATGGTAGACAGTGCTGATTACTAGTTTTGGACCAGCTACACGTAGAATGTTTGATTAATGGTGTTGCTTACATGTCCTGTTGTTCTTCTGCTTTAATCTGTAAATTACAAAGCTGCTTCTTTGCTAATGTTTCAACAGTAATCTCAGATATGAAAAACAAGCCAAAAAAGGTTTTTTTGTCTTAATAGTACAGCCCTGATTGTCAGATTGTGCCAGGGTACCACCTCAGTTTGTTTTTGCTGATAAAAAGACAATTTGTAAATTAAAGTTGTGAAAGGAAAACAAGATTAAAATATAGATATATATTTTATTGCGCAAAGAATTTGATTTGGTGTGACCCAGTGCAGTGTGAAAACACAGCAGTTAATACACATATTGACTGCCTGGGTTTCCATTATATAGGACACATTATAAAAAAGCATGTAAGAAGTTAGAGAATTAGAAATAACTCAAAAACATCTAAAAGGTTTCAGAAATAAGATCCATTCTTCAATAAAACCATTTAGTCTGTGGTGATTAAATGCAGAAAACACATTAGCATATCTTAGGTATAGCACAGTAAGTTTTATGTGGTAGATTTTGTGGCTTATTTGTTCAAAAAAGGCATATGTCCTCCTCTGTGCTCTATGGCGTATGCACTTTATAGTATATAGTATATTTTTTACATTTAGGTTATTTTTTTCAGGAATGTGCTTTAGAAGTAAAAGCACTTGGTTGGGGGGATTTAACAGTATGTTAAGGATATTTAGGATATTGCTAGTGGAGCAATATTAATCAGCAGGCTACTAATCTTTGGAAAATTATTGGAGATAGCATCATAGAAATGGTATGTGTTTCACTTTGCTCTTTGACAATTATGAAACTCAGCTATAGAACATTTGAATATGAGCATGTGGTGCCAACCTGTTAAGTATAGCATTAATAACCTTAATTGAAATATTGCTTTTGGAAGTTTACAGTCTGTCTTTTAATCTGGGTTCACCTTTAAGGTGTTGGTATCAAAATATGAAAATTAACTGAAAAGTAATTTGTGTGATTTAATTAGTTTAATATCTTAGCATTTCCAAAATTTTGAAAAGTCTGGAGCCATAATTACAAATTAAGTTACAATTCATATTGTTAACTAATTAGGTTTCAGGTCAACAAATAAAGACACAAAAGAGCCAGCATTTGGGCATTACATTTTGTGCTTTATCTCTTCATGCTAGCAATACTGTAGTCACCAAATACATGTTATTTCAATTACTTTTTTTTGTCTTTTTACAAATTATTAGAAGTTTTTAAAAATAATAAAGCCTGAAGTGAGTCTTTAATAAGATGCTGTGAGTGTGATTTTATCCTTCATATTAAAAAAATATATATTACAGAATGTAAGTACTCTGAGCTTTTTTCTCCTGATTGAGAATGGCCTGGTTTTGAGTTTCAAGTTCTTGATATAAAGTCAGTATCAGTGCCTCGCTTGATTTTTTTTCCATGCTGGAACAAGAGCAATGTCAGAGTGGTAGCCTGCGTTGAAAATAAAATTGAAAGCATGAAGCTTCTGGTCAATTTCTATCGCTCTGACAGGGTTAGTGGAAGTGGGCAAGTATTTTGCAGCTGTCAATAAAGGGTCGCAGAGAAAATCATTAGCTGAGGATTGAGTCTGAAAGTGGATTCATTGAAGTAATACAGAGTTCAATAACTGAAAACAAAGTGCATCCTATTTGCTGTAAAATATCTGCACTATTACTATTAGGGACGGATGATAGGCCTGAGTTCTTCCATTGAGAAGTAATCTAAACTCAATATCAGAGGTGACAGGGCTTTTCTCGTACGGAAGCAGTGTTGAATCTCTCATCTTTCTTTTGTTATATACATAACATCTAGCCTTCTGGACCTTCTTTATTTGATAACATCGTTATTTTTAAGCATCGGATTATTTTGTTATTCCGATCACTTCAAATTGAAATAAAACAGTGCTGATTCCTTATGGTATTTTGCACCAGAATAAATCACCTGCTGTATAGATGTGTACCCTAAATTGTTAGTTTTTTTTAAAGTAATCCCATTTCCTTAGAAAATGTAATTGTGGATTTTTAATTATACTGTAATTTTGCAAACCCTAATCCTTAATGGAAAATGGATCATAACAGATCTTTTGTTCATCACATTTTGTTGTATTTTACAATCCCTGAACCAATGTATTTTTTTCAATTTTTTGCAATAAATTAATTGTAGATAGATTTGTTTTGATAAAAATGCTGAAATTAGCTGGCACCCATGGATGGAATGATTGAGGTATAGGTCAGTGAGGGTTATAGGTTAATTTAGGTGTATTAATTTAATTGAAACATGGTTGGAACTTTCATAATGCATATCTTTGGCAGTGTACATTAAGGAATATTTTTGTCTGTATGGAGAGAGGGAGTCGGCCTCTGTGCTTTAATATGTGAATGAAAAAATAAAGCAGTCTGTGGATGCATTTTTGGTATTTCACATGTACAATGGCCCTTTCACACAGAAGATCAGCTAAGCCCTTTGAGCACCTCCATCGTCTGCATTATTATACCAGAACAATGTTTAATGAGAGCAGATAAATGGAGTATCATTTGTAGTGAGCCATACTGCATGCTGTACCCACAGAGGAAATCATAAATAATCAATGAAGCGCTCAATGGATATGCAGGGCTGGGGGTTGGTTTGAGGTACAATTTGTATCTGTACAGTGTTCCTTTGGCCACTTTTTCCTTACTGTTGACAGAGTGTCCGAGCAGCCAAGTGGGTATTTAGTCCATCCATTTTAAGTGGGAGACTGGCCTCGGTTCCTACTGTTGTTTTATTCCGATGGCCTTCATACTGGGATTAGATTTCACTACACTCTCCAGGTGCCCTGGACATTTTAGGAGGTAGTGAGTCTTAGGCCAGGGCCTCCCTTTTTTCATGGCATTTCTGTCTCTTTTGGCTTCTTGGATTAATCCTGGATTAATCCTGGTGATCTGAGAAGCCCGGCCGTGCGCAGGCGCTCTTCACCGCCAATCCAGAGAGTATTGCAGAGAGTAGAGCCAAAGCAATCACAATATGCCCCCCACCAGTACTTTGCGTGCGATAGGGGGTCTTCACTAAATTCTCTTTATTCCAGACACAACAGACAAATACAAGCAGGTGCCAGAGTTTAACTCTGATTTTATCTGTTTAAAGTCCTATTTTTGTAACTGAGGTCTAATGATTTTCAAAAATGATATACATTTATTTATTTGCTTTTTTTGAAACTAGCAGGAGTACAAAGACCAGCTGTTTTTTTTTCCTTATTTTGTGAATGGAACAGACAGTAGTACTACAGACAATGAAGCAGAAATCTTTCAGAATCGAGTTGGATATACCAAAGAAAAGCACATATTTATGGCTTTCATTTGTTTCTCTAATTGCTTAAGACAATTCAGTTCCCAGAGAAACCTCTTTTTGATATGTCAGAAAATCCATACTGTAACCTTGGTTTAATTGCTCTGTTTAAATTGTGGTACATGACTTGTTTTGATAGCCTTTCGTTTTATGTGAGGACCCCCTAGGATTTTGCATATTTTCACAACATTTTCAGAAGCTTTTTTTTTTATCATGGGCAGCAGAGAATAACAAAGAGGCTTACATTTGGGTTGTTTCTTAATTAAAAATTTAAAACGGATTAGGCTTCAAACAGTCTTATTATTTCGGCCCCCACAAATCATCAGCGGTATAGGTTACAACATAACGTGGGCAATAATTCAAGCATTTTGGAATAATTTGCAGAAAACCTGCAAATTCCTGCCCTTGAAATACCATTGTTGCTCCTAATATACTCTAAGTTCTCTTTTTAGGTTCCTGGTTTTATGAAATAAGCAGTATTTGTTGGCCTCGTTTGATCCTTTGAGCATGTTGGGCTTAATGTCTGGCCAGTGTTTTTCAAGCAGCAGGTAGTCGGGAACAAGCTGTTGGAGAGTCATCATTCTTTAGTCTAGCTGTTATTCACACACAGATGGAGACCTTATGAACTTTGACAGAGGTCATTTTTAAATTACATATTTAAAATTTCTTGTTTTCATAGGGGCTTTCGAGGGGAGCTGTAGGTTTTGGGGGAAAAAATGTCGTCCAGTTGCGTTGGGTTTATTTTTTTTGCTTTCATTTTGTTTCTGTTATTAAAGTTTTATTTCTTTGGAGATTCTTCACCTCCTTCATGCACATTGAAAATTCAATTATCCGGCTTTCATTCTAGTGTGAGGAAGCACTCCCTCCCCTCCTCCTTTTTTTGAGATCGCTTCCCTCGCTGCCCAGAATAAGCCATGTTTTGAAAGTAGACATTCTGGCAACTAGCCAAAGCTTCCTAGACAAATCTAAGCTGCCTTTTATTGCAGCTTTGTGTACTGTATTATGGAAAAATGAGATGCTATTTTTTCTTGTTCCCCTGAAGTATAATGATAGTAATAGTATTATACAGTAAATGTGTTGTGAGCTCATTTTGGTCACTGACAAGATCCCCAGATTCACAGTCCTTACTCTAATAGGTATTATAGCACAGAGTAAAATTTGCTGTCTTAACCTTCTTTATATTTTATCCAGGCACACCGGCAGTTTGTTTTAAAGCAGGCTGTATTCTGTTGCAGGTGTTCTCATTGGTTTCAATGTGTGTGCGTGTGCATATTTCTAAAAGTTCTTTGAAATGCCTTATGCTCCCAAGAAGAAAAAAAACAGGCTTTCTCTGATTCAATTTAGATAAATCTTTTTCTGTATCCAGTGCTAGTCTGGAGCACTTATACACTGCTAGTCATCTTTAATGTTTCCTTTTAAGACATCATTTTTTTTTTCCTTCTCAGTGGTCATCCAACAAGCTTTGTAGTATCAGAGTAGCTGGTTCAGAGTGAATTAGGATACTCCTGGCAGTGTTTGATATAAGGTCCGTTGGGGCAATCAATTGATACAGCGAAATCCCTAGCATCTGTCCTCAACCATCATCTCGCCAGGGATCCATTGGATGTGTCGAAAAAGCACGAGACTATCTGGTTTCACACTATAACATGTTACATTTTCTATTCAGTGACACTTTGAAAATGGACTAGATTTCTTTTGCTTTTAGTCTAAACTGCAGTAGTGGCATCAAATTCCAATTGCACATCTTGTTCATAAATGATACTTTTTTAATCGTAGACTTTTTAAAGAGGATTGAGGACAGGACAGATTTCGGTATGACGCTGTGGCTCAGAAAATAAAGAGCACAGGGAGGTTTTATGTTTCAAATGGTGTTTTTATTTGCAGAAGGGTTATTGGAAAACTTTGACTGCTTATAATAAGGCCACTGCAAACTCCAGAGAACCGTGGTGACCTGAACTGGTCCTGTGACACCAGGTGGCGTGAAGACTGATCTTGTTTTAATCAAACGGTCAAAATCTCCTCATTGAGCCAGTTGTGTAGCACAGGGTATGGATAGCTCCTCAACAGCTCTAGGAGGTAAAAATGTCATATTTCAATCAGACTGAGCCTCATTCTATGTGTCACGACCACTTTCAGCGTCTGCCACACACAGAGAGCCGGGAAACTCACACCAGCAGAGGGCTGGGCAAAAACAACTGTATATAAGTATATTCAGAGCTGGGGCTTGCTTCAGGGCAGGAGAAGATCTCTCGCATTCTGGAAGAAAAGCAAGCCATGCTGAATGAAAAAGATTTGGGCTCGGGGGTGGTTGGGCTGCAGTATTATGTTTATCACTGTTGTCAAAAAGTGTGTCAGAGATATTGTGAATGCCTTTCTTTCTCATTTAATTATTTAATTGAATTATTGTTAGTGATTTGTGCAGACAGCAGTGTTTGAGTAATGAAATAGTTCAGTCTCAGGATTGCAAACCTCTCCACACCATGAAGAAAAACCTTGAAGAGGGAGGCTGGGTAGTTGTCATATTTTTCCCCACGATCTTGTGACAAAAAGCTTAAATGATATGAAGCCAGCCTACTCGACTGCATTGCCTGGGACATACCTTATTTCTGGGAGAGATCATTCTGTGGATAGAATATTCTAGGAAAAGAAGATTGTGATGTCCTTTAAAATATGCATTAGGCTTTTTTTAAACTAAGACATGCATAACCTTAAATAGTTTGCTTTATTTTGAATCCGTTTAGTTAGAATGCATGAATTCTCAGGAATTCCTTTTATTTTAAATTAAGTATATACCAGTATACCTGTTTATACTTGACTTTTCTATTGCAAAGGTTTTCCCATAGTTGTTACTGATAGACAGAGACCAGGTAATTAAATATAGATGTACTAAGAGGCTTAAATTTAATGCCATTTTCTTCTGATATTCAGAACTTTGTCAGAACTCTTTATGGGATTTGGGAAATTTTTCATTTTGGATTTCTTTGTGACTGAAGCATTTTTCTCTGGTTTCTTTTCTAGGTGTAACACATAACATTCCTCTTTTACGAGAGATAATTGGGCACCCCCGATTTGTTAAAGGTGATATCAGCACAAAATTCCTCCCAGAAGTCTACCCCGAAGGATTTAAAGGTAAAATACTTTTTTAACCATATATGTAGTTTATTAGTCCATAGAGCACTACCCAAAGGTTTTGGAAACACCATGTAGCTAGAAAAGAGATCAATTGTTCATTCTTTGAGACCATAGCTCCTAGATTTTTAATGATATTATAATATTTATACATAACTGAACAGATACCTGCCTCCATAAATAAATAGATATTTATAAAATAGATATTGATGTTGAAATTGGCTTGCAGCCCAATTTTACAGGGAAAGCCAGTAAAACCTGTGAGTAAAGATGATAGGAAGTGAACAAATGTTGTTTTACTTCGAGTATGTACATTCTGGTATCACAGTTTCTTTCTTCTGCAGTCACTCCTAAAATGCAAGTGGCATCTGAAGCAAGTACCCTTCTCCCTGACATTGTCAGGGAATGGGCATACCCTTTCCAATAGGTATTGTCTTGTAAAAGGAGGATGAAGCTGACTGCCACTTCACTTATGAGATAACTTATCAATGCCAGCAATACATTTTTAAAGAGAAGACAGTTGGAATAAGAAAATATTATAAATCATGCAAATCACCAGTTAATGTCCCCAGATTTTCCGAATGACGTGTACAAACATTTGTAATATTTTGAAGAGCAAGCTTACTAGCATACAGAGAAATCAACACATTTGATCTAAGCTGTTTACCAGGCAGCTTACATCCTATAGTTTTACAGTTATCCATATAAATTGGGACACATTGCGTGGCTATCACTTTGCAGTATATGTTAAGGCATGTAAACATATAAATTGATCTAGGGATATTGTTCCTCTCTTTTAGTTATTACTATGTAGGGTTGTAAGTAATTCAAATTTTCATATTCAGATTTTTTTAAAGAAATCTTTTTAATTTTATATCAGGTGCTTTCTTTACTCTTAAAGGATGTATATACATTTGAGCCTGTACAAATGGTTGTATAGTTTACAGTTACACAGATGATTAACAGCCTTAGAATCTGAGAGAAGTACAGTATATGAAAAATGTACCACAAGAAGGTTAAAGCAGTGTTGGAACAAGCAGGGTAGAGCAAGAAGTTCCATTTTTATTCCCTGTAGCTTCAAGTTATGTTTTCTCAACATGAAAAATAAAGCCCAACTCCTAACGTTTTTGGCACTGTGGATAAATCCTTAAAACACATTAAAAAGTACTTTGAAACCAAGACAGAGCAGTGATTTGTCATTTAGTGGGCTATTTATATTTTTTAAGTTCATTACAAGCTGAAACTATGGTGGGTAAATAGGACTTTGATCATGTTGGCTTAATTGGAATATGTGGTTCTACAAGGTGGGCTCAATAAACTCAGAAAAAGTATTTACTGAGTAAATCGTACTTCAATTTTCCCTTTGTTTTAACTGTTTTACAAGTTAATAAATCCCCTTCTGGGTATGTTTAGTCCTTTTACCCCCTGTAGAGTTCAATAAATAAGCCATGACATGAAATACATCTACACAGCAAGTGATACATTCAATAATATATTTAGTGGATCCTTAAGTTTGCTTTATAAAGTTACCTCTCATTAAGTTATATTGAATAAAAACTCTAGTGACATGCATTCTAAAATTTAAACTGACATTAAAACATAAGAAATGCCAGTCTAGCACCTTTGGGTGGTTAGTAATAACAATTTAATAATCTAAAATAGATAATGAGCTAGATTGTATATTTAGGTTTGTGAACCTTTATATTTTTTTAAACCTAGAAGCATCCCAGTGTTGTTTTAATGTAAATTTATCCAGAAAAAGTAAAGATAGTTCAGTTGCTGTTTAAAGTTAACCTCAACAGAAATCCATACATAATGAAAACAATATCACACACTTCAATTCTTTCAATCTGTGATTTTCATATTATTTTCTTATGTTATATCATTTGATTTAAAGTTTAGTATCAAGGGATTGTTTTATAACAAAACTATCTCAAGGAAATGAAACTGGCTTTTCTGTATAGAGTTTAATCAAAGCCCATATTATTATGTTAATATTCATTCATTTTTTAACAGCTTACATCTCTTAGCAGTACAGTTAAGCCAACAGTCTTAGAATAAAAAAATCCATTATTTCCTCTCTATGATGTGCCAGTCCAATGTGTCTCACTCCTTAGCATGGCTTGTAATGTAATCCATCATTTGAAAATTAAACTTTTCTGTAGCAGGTTCATATATTGCCAAGACGTCCTTGAAAAGTAGCGCTACACATGTTGAAGCAAAGTCATTCAGTCCCTGAAAAGAACAAGGCATGCCAAAGCTAAGCTTCTGGGGATGGCAGCATGTGGAGAATCTGCCATTTCTAAACGGGGGGAAAAAAAAAGAAAACAAAAGAACTAAACATTGTAAAACTACACTGACTGTGTGTGGGAATCTGCTGTTTGGATGCTATGCTGAAATTTATCTCACAGACTAATCTTAGGTTGTGAGTTAGTTTCAAGTTTAAAGTCACTTTAAGTGTGATTCATTTTTGAAAGTTTATAAACAAGGAGTCTTTTGACACTCCACGGTATTAGAATATTTAGTTGGATGACAACCGGTGCATATTAAAACTTTATTAGTAAAACAATGACAATATCAACATCTTAGGTAAAGTATTTTCTGTGGAAGTTTGTTTTTTTCTTCAGTTTTTTTTCTCCAGAAAGGGGTTCATATTCTCAGTGCATCAGACATTGATGTTGTTTTTCCTCTGCCTAGGCCATCAGTTAACGGATTCAGAGCAGGAGGAGTTGGTTGCATCTGCTGCCTCCTTGTTTGTAGCAACTCAACTGAGATCTCAGAGGTTTTTAGGCAGCTTGAGGTAAGTGAACTACAGTCCAGTGCAACTTGCTTTAACCTTCGAAATCCTTTGTGGTAGCTGAAGTTGGCTCCTCCGATTAACTTTATAACTTTCCATTTTAAAAAGGAGTCCTCTTCATGGTTTTCTTTCCCTGTCATTCACTATGCTGGCAGGGGAAAGACACCTTGCTGGCTGTGCTACCACAGCCTAAAAACTCTTTACCAATCCGTTTATGTGTGTCTATTAGATGCTTCGGCTGCATAAGACCCTACTAAATCCCTTGTGTTGCACCGATCTATGACATGGTGAGACGCCCATATCTTGTCAGTGCACAGCTCTGTATCCTAGCGAGCAGTGAATTATCCTAAAGTTGAATCATCCATTGTGCTATAAATGTCACTGATTGCTTTCGAACCAAGATCAGCCATGAGTGACAGTCGTACAGCAAGGGCAAAGTTCTCTCTCAGTATTAAGAACCTTCTAGCTGACACGTCCGAGTAATAACTGTGATGATCTCTTGTACGGTGCATAATTAAATACTGATCCTTTTTTTTTCTTGAAGGTGCATAGTTTCAAATAATCTTCTTTATATAAAAGTTGATTAGTGAGCAAGTTAGATTGCTGCTGTTCTTGTTTTCCATTCCTCACAAGCCAGTGGAGGAATGGATTAATTTTATTTATGTTTTCCACTGCAGAAGAACAATAGCTCCAAGGGGGAGACCTCTCCAACTTCACCCCAGTTGTAGTGACCCTGCTGTATCACAAACTCACAGATCACATTGATTTTATGTCACACTGACTTGGGGTGGGTCTGTGGTCAGGGAAAGCAGGAACTGATAACTAGTACCCCGCTATCTTATGTTGAAGAGCGTATACTTTGATGAGAAAAACATGACCATAAGAGAGCACACTGAACTCGAACTAGTGAGGTACAAAGTAGACTAATTTTCTTATTGCACAAAGTGACAGTTCCTGGAGGAATCTTAACAAGTCCAATTAATTAGGGCTCAGAATGCCTTTAACCCTCGATAACTCATTTAAGCATCTAACCTACTTGAAAAACGCAGGCATACTTATTAATTTCCAAGGGAATTCATTTATCGGCTTGGGCTTCCATGAGGGATGCCTTTGTACACTTAGCATGAGGACTTCAAAGATAGAATTTCACTGAAAAAAAAGATTTCAGCCCAAGTTATGTATGGGTTCTGTGTTCTACAGATACTTCAGCAGGTAACATTTTTTTTACCCAGGGATTTAGTTGATTATAATATGATGATGGGGGGATGTTGTGAATTATTGTGGATGTGTTGTTGGAGTTTCTTTTTGGGGGGGGGGGATCTGTCTGTATTTGGTTGAAAATAAAAAAAATGATGTTATAATTTAAAATCTTTTGTGATTTTGGCATGGTACTGTGTATTTCATCTGTACCAGCTGTTGCCTGGTGTTACAATGTGTGTGTCTGACTGTGTGCCTGTGAGGTTTTTTTATAGCTGAATGTAAAAGCAGAAAGAAGCACCCGCCCTTTGTGAATTTCCTCCCTTAAAACTGACAGTTATCTGTCATGGGTTTCCTTCGCTATTCAGAATAGGTTTTCAGGCTTACTATACAAAGGATCACTGGTGCCACCAGGGTCATTCATGAGTGTATTTAGCTGTGATATATAGATAATGGGGGGGACACATATTTCCTGCAGGAAACGGCTATGAATGATGGATGGTTGTTTCATTGTTAAACCTTAACCCTGATTTTGTTTAACTTTCCCTATTTGTTCAATGACACACGAGCAAAGCTGGTGCCCACCCAAGTCCATTTCACTCTGAAGTGCCAGATGTCCACTTGATTAGGTCTTTATGTCTGTGTTAAGGCTGTAATTTGGAATTTCATTTGAGTACATCCAAATAAAGCGGACTCGGGTACTGTGCGTCATTGAAACGTATCTGAGGCTTGGCTACGATTTTGTTTTCACTGGCGGATTAGAAATTGAGAGGGTCTCTGCTCAGGTGTGGCTACATTTTACTATCTCGTGGGTCCACTAATGTTATGTTTATGCTTTTATGCCCAATTGCCTGCTGCACTTCTTGTGTGGTGCTTGTTTTGGCCGAGGGGAAAGTTTTCCTCATTTCTGTATGGGCTGCAACCTTTTTGTCCCTTTGTGATTGTGAGCACATCCAGCTTTGAACACAATCAAAGATCACCAGAAGTTTCTGAAGGAATAATGTACTGTGAACTATAATGAATAATGAAAAGTGAACTATCCAAACATAATTGTGTGTACATAATCTTTATATATGCATAGAAATACACCTTAATTGTTAAACAATGTTTTTGACGGTAACATCTCTTCATCTTATTGGGTGATTGCTTGATCTTCTAGATTATAATACTTTAAAAGATAGATTGGCGAAATATTTATTCATCTCCATTAAGATACTACTAGAGATATGAGGTGCCAATATTTACAGTATTGTGTGTGCCTGTAGGTGTATAACGTATATGTATAAATTTTGCTGCTATTGTTAGTAGTAGCTCAGTAAATGCGATCTTGAATTTGTGCATCACTTAATAATAAGATATTTCTATCTAAATTCAAAATATCAATTTCTTTGTATAGTATTAGAACATATTTCCTAGCTACTGTCCGCAATTTGTATGTCTTAAAATACACAAATATAGAATAGAAACAGATGCTTTTAAAATAGTAATTTGCTCCTTGAATCAAAAAGAAATTAAAAAATGATGAATAAATGAGTCAATTATTCATGACTGTCCCAATAAAAAGAAAAAATGTGGAAGTTCTGTTTTTGGACTCTTTGTGCCTTTCTTGTCCTTAAGGAAGGAAACCAGCTGACATATAGTCACTTCATCTTAGAAAAAAAAATACACTATCTCTACGATTATTATTTCTAAAAGAATTGCTCCCGTTCAACAGAAATCAGGACCCACCAGTAACCTTTAGTGAGTTTGTAGATTTATTCTAATAAGTACTCTGCTTTTGACAGGTTAAAGCTTGACCTTTTGTGCTTTAGAGATACCTTGGTGTCAGCATCCTTGTGTTCCTTGTCTAGTTTTATCGGCAGGGAAAATAAAATGTAAATTAAATGCAGCATAAAAATAGATGATAGGGCTTGTACCTCTCATTCCTATAATACAGCTTTTTTGCACTGACTGTGTTGAAGACTGGTCACAGTAACCAAACGGGCACAGCATATAATTTTACGTTTTAGAAAAGCATTAGCTTGCATTTGAGCTGTTTGTGCATCAAACATTTGTCCCAAGTGTGTGAGCACCAAGCAGTTTAACATGATGTAGGGTGGTAATGTATGTTGGGTTACGGCTAGGTTTGCACTGTAATATACTCGTCCCAGAAGAGTGATATTCAGAAATTGTGGGTGTTTTGGGTTTTTCTCATTTTCTCGATAAAGATAGGCTGTTTGATGTTTGATCTTGTCTCGTTCTTTCCAAAAGCTTGAGAGGCAGCATTAGAGCCATTGTTGTACGACTGTTTCTGTGTTCCCCCGCAATGATTCTAAAAGCTTTTGCACACTTCATCAGTATTATTGTAATTCTTTTGCTGTAGGTTATTTGGCAGCTGCTGCACCCCACTGGCAAATTCTATTCATACCTCCCTTCCTTTCACCACTGCCATTGGAGAATTGATTTTTCTCTTCTCTCCCCTAACCTTCCCCTATTCATTTTGGATTGTTCGATATGAAACATTTTAATTTCTCATCGTACAACCATTCGGATAACAATCAGTGTTTCTTTCTTTTTTTTATTTTCTTTTAACCAGTCAAGGGGATAAAGGGAAAATAAATCCCATCGTACTTGACGTTTCCTGTGTTAAAAAAAATTGAAGCAAGACAAAATAAAATGTTTAATCCATTGGAGGGTGATTGTGTCCCAGACAAATTGATAGCGACAGCCTTTTCTAAAGAGCTTATAAGTTTAAACCCATATGAAATTAACCATGACAGAAATCATGCATAACCAAGTTACTTTGGTGTCCAAAATATAATTGCATGTAGGAACTGAGATATAGAGTTACCAGTGTGCTTGTCTACAAGCTTGGTCTGTGACTACATGTGTCCATATCTCTCCCAGAGTCTTTTGATCACCTCAGCATGTAGCCATGGTGCTGTCCCCACTATATAGTGCAGTGAATGCTTAGTAATTTGTTAGTTTCACATCTTATGAAATTTAATGGCCATGCTTCTGAAAGCACATGCCAAGGTGTCTATGTCCATAAGCAGTACTCTTACCCGGTCTATGCAACCATTGTCCTGTTTTTTTGCTATAGATGCATCGTCTCATATAGTAAAACCTTGATATCAGTGTGTTCTGCATTCATGATTTTGTCTATTTGAGCAAAGTTTGTAGTGACCACCTTTTCCATATTTGTGGACTAAATTTGCTTATTGCTGTACTCCTGCACAGTAGGAGAGAAAATGCAGGCTCCCATTTCTGCAGCTCTTGCACCTCTTGGATCTGCTTCTGTCTCTATAGTAAGGGCAAAGCCTGATTCCGAAAAAGCGAACATGTCTATGTAGAAGTGCATCATGGTTTATGCTTTATTCAGGTTCTTTTAGGAAAGCGTTAGATCTGCATTTTGTGTAGATCTGTTATCAGAGTAGTTTCTGTATGTGACTCAGTGTTATGGGAAAAAAAAGAAAAAAGTTTAAGAATAGTGGTTCCCTACGCTATGACAGTCTCAATTCTTGTGTGTCCTGTAGAAAAAGATAGTAAAAAAAATTCTCAGAAAGACAATCAGACAAACCGCAGGAGCACGAGAGCAAGTTGTTTTAGAAGGAAGGGATTGAGTGCACTTAATTTACTTTCATGTCATTTATTACTGTGCTGCAGTAATCTCATAGTTTATCACAGTATATTAGTGCTGTATTTATAATAACTAATACAGGGTAAGCTATAATATCATAATAGTGATCTAATTTATTTGCTTACACATGCAGTACCTGGAATTAGAGGGGAAAGGCGATTCTTTTTGAAGTTTTCAGTAATCATTT